CTCAAGAGCAGTTCTTGAAAGAGCTCTCAGCCCAACCTACCTCACTGGGTGTCTGTTGTGGGGAGAGGAAGGGAAGGAGATTGTAAGATGCTTTGAGACTCCAACTGAAGAGCAGGGTATAAATCCAACTCTTCTTCTTCTTCACCACCACAATGGATCTGGGCAGTAGTATTGATGTACAGGATCTTAATTAGCCAAAGAAGTCTTTTATCAATGGCTAGGCCCATCAGTTTCTCCCACAGCTTGCTTCAGTTGACTGAATTTAATGTTCCCTTAAGATCCATAAAGGCCTCGTAAAGCTTCTCGCCAGGACTAGTTGTATATTTTTCTGCTAGATGAAAGAGGGTTAAACAGTGATCAATAGTGGGAAAGCCTCTCCTAAAACCAATTTGTTTCCAGTCCAGGATTTTCTTGGTCTGAATCCATTCCACTAATCTTTGGTGCAAAACAGAATATAATTTCCCAACAGATGATAGGAGGCTAACTGGCCAATAGTTGGCGGGATCAAGCCTACTGCCCTTTTAAAAAACTGGGACAATTATAGAATGCTTCCATACCGGGGGGAATTTCTCCCATCTGATTTATCTGAAAGAAAACAGGTGCTAGATTTCTTCCCCACCACCAATCCGGACCTTATCTGAACAAAGGGCCTTGCCAGCTTTCATCTGACAGATCTTTTTGTATGCATCTTATTCAGGTACAGGTGCCCAATTAGGGAGGTCATCCAGCATTCTGTCCTCTAGCTGAGTATTGTTGGAAAAACTAGAGCAAAACAGCTCCTTAAAATATCTCGTCCATCTGGAAGCAGAGATACATGATGACAAGTTGGATCTCAAATTCATGGCCAAAGAAACAGCTTCCCAAAAACTGGATAAATCATTGTTGCTAAGTGATGTAATAAGGAGATGCCAGCCCTTGTACTTTTCATATCTCGTTTTATCCTGAATTAATTTTGTACCTTTTTTTGAGGTCCAGTAATTCCCCTAGAACATATAAAGTATTATATCTTTTAAATTCCCTATAGAACATATAAAGTATTATCACTTTTAAATTCCCTATGCTATAGCCGAAGCCTTCTTTTCATAGTTGTACACTCAGAATTGAGCCACTTGTCTCTTTTCTGGCATATAGCATTACTGAGCAAAAGGCTGAATTTCCTAGCCATTTCACATTATGCAGAGGCAAATCCAAATTTGCCACTAAGAAGGCAGGGCCCGCCAGGAGCCTGATCCCTGGTTTTGATAATCTTCATTAAAATATAACTTCTGCAATGAATGAAGGGCAGTTGACTCAGTTAGGCTATTGGCAACATCAGGAAGCAAAGAGTTTATCTTTGGTGGAAAAGTTATTCAGTGATCTGCTTCAGAGGACAGATTTACTCTATAACATTTTGGAACACCAAAATGAGAATCATCAGATCAAACAATTAAGGTCTGATATTTTTAACCTGAAGAAGCTTCAGGGCAAAGAACACAAACATAAGCAAGAATGGGAATATTCCGAACAGATGGTTCAACAAAGATTAAGCTCATCGCAAAAGTCTCCAGAAAAGGGGAAACAGCTTGATCAAACAACTACAGATGAAGAAGAATTAAATGTTATACAGTTGGCTGAAGATACTACAAGATTTAAAAGACATTTAAGTTCATTTCAGCTCCCAAGTGAACAGATGGAAAAGCCCCTGGATGATAAACAGCATACAGCTCAAGAAATAATGTTGATGCTAGTGAATGCAATTGTTCCGTTGAATAATGAAAATGCTACCCAGGATGAGACCATCAGTGTGTGCTCAGAAGTAACATTAATGTCCTGGATAAGGAGAAGAACAGCCTTCACACAAATGAAGGTGGGAAAACAGAGAGAATTGCTTGTTTAGATGGGAGGCTAACCAACACAGGAAAAACTATCCCTCATTTATGTCAAAAAATCAATCAGCTGGAGTCCTCCTTAGACCAGTCAAAGTCTTGCAGGCAAAGACTGTGAAATAGCCAACCTATGTGAAAGACTTGAAGCAGTGCACTCGACAAAAGCAGAAAAGTGGAAGAAACCCTAACAGAAACGAAACAGCTCCTGAATGATCTAGCTATGATGACCAAAGAAAACCAGATCTTGAAGGATTCACATTTTTCCCAGGTTCAAACCACGATTGGCCCAAAAATGCCATAGCAGGTGGAAGCACCAGATATCCATTTGTCCCTTAACACTGCCTTAAATACATCCCATACTTGATCCTGCTTCACCCCATAGTCAGAATTAAATTTAAAATATTCTTCTATATTTCTAGAGATTCCTTCACAGACCACCTCACTTTGTAGTAACAGTTTGTTTAGTGTCCAATTTGGGTCCTTATCATCCGTAACTATATTTGAAACCTGACATGTAACCCACACATGGTCCCATAAATTCCTATTTCCTATGTCCACCGATTGACTTTGATTTAATAAAGGCTTGTTAACTAGAATGGGAAAAAATGCCATTAAGCTTCCCAGTGCCTCCACTCTATTGGTACAATACAGAGAGGCATGTGCACGGAATTACATCATAATCACACCATTTTGGCGCTACACTAAGGTTACCCTTGCCTTTACCTTGTTGACACATACAATGTGGAAATGAAAGCATAAGTCCAAAGCAACTATTGATCTGGTCACTCCAAATCTGAAAATGCTGGGGCATGGAGCATATTGATTGGAGCAGTGATTCTTCCTATGTCTATGCTGGTGACAAATCAATATATGTATTTGTCTAAGTTTTTGAAGCCATCTGAACTAGGCCCTGAGGCAAAAACCATCAATTGTTCCCACAAACCTATCTTCATACACCCCAGAAAAAGAAGTCTCCATTTCAGAAGCTGACTCTGAAGCTTTCATCTCTTTGCACCAGTCACCTTGTGGCAATGTTAAATGTAGAACAAATGATCGGTAGGAGCAGTTATATTCAGTGTGCTTTTGTTTTGTTTTTTAAAAATGATGCCCATGATAGTTACAACAGAAAATTCATAAGAAGCCAGATGGAGGAAGGTACCACTGAGAAAAAATATAGAGCCAGTTTGATGTAATGGTTTGGAGCGTGCACTCTAATCTGGGAGAACCAGACTTGATTCCCCACTCTTCCACATGCAGCTGCTGGCGTGACGTTGGGTCAGTCACAGTTCTCTCAGAGCTGTTCTCAAAAGAGCAGTTCTTGAAAGAACTCTCTCAGCCCCACCTACCTCACAGGGTGTTTGCTGTGGGGAGATGAAGGGAAAGGAGATGGTAAACCACTCTGAGGCTCCTTCGGGTACTGATGGATGGGGTATAAATCCAATCTCTTCTTCTTTTGCAATACACAGTTCAGTATTTGTTAGCAATTGAGTGTGTATTCTGCATAGCAGACAATATGTAGATAATTTAACAAAAACGTATTTTGCAAATTAAATTTTGACACGTCTTATGGTGAATTGCATGTCAGCATAAGAAACCAGATGCTTAAAGATTATCTCACTATCCCCACCCCCAGGTTTTTAACAGAACGCAATTCTAGGAATAGCACTATTATAACGGGAATCCCATGAAGGAGGAAATAGGCTGATTAACCACTGGAGTTCCCCTGCTAAAATTCACTACCACCACCATCCCATGGCCAGTTTTACACCTAAATGGCCGCCTGGGATGCCAAAAAGGCAGTATCAGTAGGGAGAAGGAATGCATATCCCTACACCCATTCCACCCCTCCAAGACAAGATGAAATGCCCTGCCCATTTAATAAAGATTTAATGGATGGAAATTTAAAGCCTTTCATGACATGAAGTTAAATATCATCAACTAATAATTGCTTGATATTTACCAAGTGACTAGTGGCACCAGTTTAAAAGTTGGCAACCCTAGCTGTAGAGAGGGAGAAGGCACATGTTCCTCTGCAACCGATGTTGCTGCTGTTGTCACTGCCTGGATGGGTCCCAAAGTGGGCAACATACGAGAACACCTGGAGCCTCAAAATGTCATTCTGCCCTAAAGTGTCTTGATCCAACAATAAATATTTAACTTCAACTGAAACTGTAACGGAATTTAGTGAGTGAAGTTGTACACTTCAACAGCTGTTTATTTTACATGTTATAAGAAATCAAAATTTGGAGAAAATCTGCTCCTTTTCTCATGACAAAGGGCTCTGAGAGTAAATGAACAGCTGAGCACTGAAGGACAAAACTGGAATGGGAAAGGATTTTCTGGCACAGGATAATTCTATTCTTAATGCTGCAATAGCCCATTTTCATTCACTATACCACCTCTGCATGCCTCACCTCAGGAAAGAAGTGGTATAGTTTTTTGGCCTAGGTTTTCTTTTACAACCTTCTTCCTCCAGAGCCACATATCTCTCCTTCTGGTTTCCCGTCCTCCACCTTCTCTTCCCCTATGCGGGTAAGTGTATCCGAATCGCACGCCTCCCTTTGACTGGTACCCAAACAGGACACATTCAGTAAGGGTGATTCGGGGCAAGCTGGGAATGTCAAAATGTTCTGGAAAGGGATCGTGCCCCCTACCACCACCATACCACCCTCAGCTGATGGAGGGCACATGGCCAACTGGACAGAGGAGTCGCCGCGCTCCTTCTGGTCGGTTCTGCTGTGCCCACCATGCTTCTCCACACCAGCTGCACCACGCCTGGGGCAGCACAGGCCAAAGCGGAGCCAGCGTCGCGAGATGAAGACGGATGCCGCCGGCATAGTGCAAACCCGCGTTCCTCGTCGATGGCGTGGGCACGGTGGAACTGGCGAAGTACGAGGGCGATTCAATGCATTAAAAGGCAGTCAGGTTGGCACAAGGACCTCCCTTCCCGTCGAGGGCTGAGGGCTCAAGGGAAGCTTTCCGCGCCCGTTCTGCCCAGGAGATGGCGCTCTTCCAGAGTCGGGCTGAGGGGTGGGAAAAGACTGTTGGGAATCGTGCTCCAGGCGTCTCGGCTCCTCCCTCGCGATAAGGGGGCAAAGGCTGGATTGGCGCTTTTAGTTTCGCTTTTCTCCGTAGTGTGCAGCTGACGTTGCAGGACTTCCCGGTCGTCTCTTCTCCATGGAGCCCCCGAAGGCAAGTCTCTCGGGGTCCGGATTGGGATAAAAAGAACCCCCTGCTCTGTCTTGGGGCCTCTTCCTCGTAAACAAAATCCTCCAGTCCTCCTGGCTGCTTTTTTCTCTCCGCTTTGTTACGTGGTCTCTAAGCTTTCGCTCTGCCCTCTCTTTGCTCTCTCTCCTCTTCCGTTTCATGGTCTTTTAAAGGGTTGCGGTTTTTGGTCCGATCACTGAAACGTCGTTTAAACTTTCCCGCCCATTTACAGCTCTAACTCGTTTTCCTTCTCCTGCTCCCTGACTCTCCAGTCTCCCCATCACTCTCCTTCCTGCCCAGTCACCTGTACGGAGAAAGCTCTTGTTTATGTAAAATATTTATATACCGCTCTATCTCCTTGGACTCAGGGTGGCTCGCAGGGCAACAAACAAGTTGCACGGACACAAAACCTTAGAACAAGCCATTACAAAGTAAGACTGTGATAGAATAAAAACGCACTCAGATCTGCCACAAATGATGGTAATTCTGTCTGGTAGTTAAGTGCAACGAAAGCAACTTTTCCCATTGTTGTATCTCTGTTTTAGGAAATACTGATTGCTGAAGTTCTGCTTTTGGGGCAAGTGTTGTTTCATCACTGCATCTCCATGTTGGGAAGCGCTGACCTGTTGACTTTCTAACTAAGGTGGAGATGGAGACTCTGCCAGGGAAAGGTGGTGTAATACTGAATTCTGTAAACTAGGGGTTACTTGAAGGCATTTTGTCTACCCCTGCACCCTCCAGCCATGCTGTCTTGGCTGCAGAGGTGCTGGCTCTGGAGCTCTTCTGCCTAAACCTCCCCTCGTGATTTGGCTGCCCAAGCAGTCAAAACTACCCTGAATCTTCCTTCTGTTGTGCCCTGAGTCTTCTGTACTGGCCATCCCCAAAAGGAAGATGATCCGGAATGTAAGATTTTCCCTTAAAATTTATGTGCAAAATTAATATACATTATTGGATGTTATTTGCCCATTTAAGACGGATCCCTCTTCTCCACATTCGAGGGGGGGAAACTAGCCTTTAAAACATCTTTCCTTTAGGTAAATTAGGTGTGTATAAGCTCACCTCTGCCATTATTTGGTTCTGTATTCATAAAAAATAGCATGAACTAAAATGTACAATGTATGATTGAAGAGAAGATCATTCTGATTCATGATGACCATGACTACATATGCTCCTCTTTAACACATTTTTAGTAACTGGTGAATCATAGCCTGATGTTTATCAGAATGGGCCATACAATAGCCTAGTGCAGGTATGATCAACTTTTTGATTCTGGGGGTGGATTCTTATGGGCCAGATCTCCCATGCTTTTTGATGTTGTTGGACATTTGCAGAAGACTAACCTGCGGCTTAGATTTTTCTCTGTCTTCCCACTGCACTTTGATAAAGAAGGGTACATGCAGTGTAAGGAGTGGGACCAGGTGAGTTTCATTCCACTTCCTCACTTTCTATGCAGCCCTGTCATTGGGAAGCAAGAGATTGCCCCAGGGGACTCCATGTAGGTTATATCATGATGGGAGGAATGGCCCACAGTTCTTTACCCTCCTTGTACCTGATTGGAAGTAAAAGGTACCACGTTGCCGTTTACCTGACAGGCACCGTTCCAACCAGGAAATCAAGATTTAAATATGACATATTGCCAGGGTCATATTTGAACTGCAAATTTGCTCAGGGTCTCATTTGAACTGTACTGTAACCCATATAAAGTGTTTTCTGCTTCATTTGACACCAGAGATATGTAGCCTTTGTGTGTGTTGCGTGTGTTGCGTTGGCATGCAAAGAAAATACACATAGTTGTTTTGTGTGGGTAGTAGCCAGATTTAAACAAGATGCTGAGTGTAGTCAAAGTCTTAAACAAGGCTTTGAGTACAAAACGCTATATTTATGTTGCTTTGCCTTGCCCATGTCTTCTTTAAAGCTGACCTAAATCCACTTTACGTTCCCTGCCTGGTACTTCTAGAGGTAGATGGGGCCAGAAAAAAAGAACAGGGTTTGAATGTGGTCCACTCCACCAGGTGACCACCCTTAATTTTTGGCCACTGTGTGACAGAGTGTTGGACTGGATGGGCCATTGGCCTGATCCAACATTTGGCTTCTCTTATGTTCTTAATCTAATGGTTGTACCTAGTTTGCAGGTAATGCTTGTTTCCTTTTTAGCACAAAGTTATTTATCCCAGATACATCCTCAAGAACAATTTAGATGGAGCCTAACACTACTAATAGCAGGAGTTCTTACACAGGCAGTATCCAAAGAGCTACTTCAGGTGCAACCAAATATTTGGGCATGACCATTGGAATCTTTTCCCCATTTTTCTTTAAACAGTAAACCCCCATGTTATATATTATATAACACAATCATCAGTTTCAAATGAGGCTTTGCCACATGTCGGGGGGGTGCTATTACTCAAACTCAAAGCTTTCTCAGGTATTATGGTTGCCAAACAGTGGCTGGCAACCGGTGGAAGTTTCCAGCAGTTCCTAGAGTTGTCCTTTGTCACTTCCAGGTAGGTCTAGGAATCATCGGGAACTCTATGGTAAGAACATCCTGGAAGTAGATGAGGCCTTATTTTTCTTTTTAATTTTTCTTCCTGCTACTTGGGGGATTTCCCAGGGGCTTGGCAGCCCTATTAGGTATGCAGAAATAGTTGCATTTTTCTGTGGCTCCCATGTGTTTTATCTTATGGACTTTGGACCAGTAGAAATAATATATGAAATGTCATGACATGCAGCCAATTAATAATTGATCTAAAATTCAATAATCATTAAATTTGAAACAGTGCTTTCAATATATTCTATATTGTGTGTAGTGATAAGAGGAGCTGCAGTGAATTGCAGAAGGGCTATTGTCAAGCAAAGTACATAGCTCGATCTTTCTTTTATATGTACATGTCTTTTTTGATTTGATTTCCCCCCCAACAATTTTCTATTAATTAGATATAGATGTTTGCATATTGACTTAATGTTTCTGTTATTTTGAGTTTTTTAAGTATGAGAGAACTTTCCATTTTTTTAAAAAGCCAGATCAAACAGAAGGAAAAAGGTAGCTTTTTTGTTGTTGTTGTTAGCAGGGAAGGCCAGCTGTTTTTTAAGAGGAGGTGACAGACACCTTGTGCACGTAAGTCTTCAGAACTGTGTGGTTGCGTGTGTGTGTAAAATGCCATCAGGTTGCAGCTAACTTTTGGCAAAACGGTAGGAACCTAACAGAAGCAGAAGAAATTAGGAAAAGATGGCAAGAATACATAGAACTATACAAGAAGGACCTTGATGTCCTTGACAACCACGATGGTGTGATCACTGACCTTGAGCCAGACATCTTGGAGTGCAAAGTCAAATGGGCCTTAGAAAGCATTACTAACAACAAAGCTAGCGGAGGTGATGGTATCCCAGCTGAGCTATTCAAAGTCTTAAAAGATAATGCTGTTAAAGTGCTGCACTCAATATGCCAGCAAATTTGAAAAATGCAACAGTGGCCGCAGGATTGGAAAAGGTCAGTTTACATTCCAGTCCCAAAGAAAGGCAATGCCAAGGAATGTTCATACTATTGCACAATTGCACACATTTCACACGCTAGCAAGGTCATGCTCAAGATACTACAAGCTAGGCTTCAGCAGTATGTGAATAGAGAACTGCCAGAATTACAATCTGGGTTTCAAAGAGGTAGAGCAACCTCAGATATGCAGATGATACCACTCTAATGGCAAAAAGTGAAGAGGACCTAAAGAGCCTCTTGCTCAGGTTAAAAGAGCAGAGCGCAAAAGTGGGCTTGAAGCTCAACATCAAAAAAACTAAGATCATGGCATCCGGACCTATCAGTCCTTGGCAAATAGAGGGGGAAGTCGTGGAAGCAGTGACAGACTTCACATTCCTGGGATCCAAGATCACTGCAGACAGTGACTGCAACCATGAAATTACAAGATGGCTGCTCCTTGGGAGGAAAGCGATGGCAAACCTAAACAGCATGATAAAAAGTAGAGACATCACCCTGCCAACAAAAGTCTGCATGGTCAAAGCAATGGTATTCCCAGTAGTCGTGTATGGCTGCGAGAGTTGGACTGTAAAGAAGGCCGAGTGCCGAAGAATAGATGCTTTTGAATTATGGTGCTGGAGAAGGCTCTTGAGAGTCCCTTGGACTGCAAGGAGATCGAATCAGTCAAAGCTAAAAGAAATCAGCCCAGACTGTTCCATGGAAGGCCAGATACTGAAGCTGAGGCTCAAATACTTTGGCCACCAAATGAAAAGGGAGCACTCACTGGAGAAGACCCTGATGCTGGGAAAGATTGAAGGTCAAAGAAGACGGGGACAGCAAAGGATGAGATGGTTAGACAGTGTTATTGATGCAATGAACATGAAATTAAGCAAACTCCAGAGACGACAGGAGACAGGAGGGCCTGGCATGGTGTGGTCCATGGGGTCGCAAAGAGTCAGACTCAACTGCGACTGAACAGCAACATGGTGTGGTCCATGGGGTCGCAAAGAGTCAGACTCAACTGCGACTGAACAACAACAACATGGACTTTCCAAAGCAAGTGACAAACAGAGCCTCTATGTAGGAACCCTGGACTTCCTTGTTGGTCTCCCATCCAAGTACTAACCAGGGCCAACCCTGCTCAGCTTCCAAGATCTGATGAGATGGGGCCAGCCTGGGCCATCCAGATCAGGGCATGTGGTTGGATATGTAACATTATATGTGAGCAGGACATCTTGTAAACAACAAAAACTGTGAGCAAGTGACTTCTGCAGACTTATTTGAAAGGCTGGATTGAGCTGCTAGTGATGACATAGTAAACACTCCTGGGATAAGAGGAATTAAGGTTATTTTTTCCTAAAAGCCCAGTCCAGTTGGTTCCTTATGCAGAATAGCATCTCTCTGCTGTAAAGAGAACTACAGACAGCAGGGTGCCCCACCCCCATAATGCATGCAGTATCAATTGTGTCTTTGGTGCAAAATACTAAATTTGGCAAACTTTATCAGTGTTCTGAAATTAATTAACAAATTAAAAATTTAGGGCTCAGTCCAGTCCATCTTCTCTTCCAACCCTGTATGCATAGAAGGAGATTCAGTATCAACTGTCCCCTGGTAGCCCTTCTGTTGTTAGAGTAGAGCGGTACTTGGTGCTTGGGGGCGTCAACAGTGGGAGGGCTTCTAATGTCCTGGCCCCACTGGTGGACCTCCTGATGGCACTGGTATTTCTGGCCACTGTGTGATACAGAGTGTTGGACTGGATGGGCCTTTGACCTGATCCAACATTGGCATCTCTTATGTTCTTATGTACACAATGTCCCAAAGTTGAATTTCAAAAAGAAAACTTGAACACTCAAAATTCAAGCACGTAAATACAAATGTTTCCTTAATTCTGTGTGATTTGTTTTAGTTCAAGTAGCAGAGGTAGCAATTCTGAAATGTGGATGAAGTGGTTTACCACTTTTAGAGTACTTTTAGAAATGCCTGTGATTGAACTTATCTTTTATTTATTTGATATAGCTGGAAGTAGACCTTTCTGATCCTGCATCATTGCAGGGAGATCAAGATAATGGAGAAGATTGTGGGGATCAACTGGATGCAAAGCCAGACAGAAGAGATCGATTATCAATCTTCGGAAAGTAAGAAGCACTTTTTAAAAATCTTTATTATGCCTTTTGCATTAAAGAGCTTTGTTCCAGTTCTTCTGTGAATCACTAATTCTCTGATTTCTTTGTGCAAACTAACTCTGGATTAGGGCTGTCAAGCTCCTGCGGGGGCGGGGGGGACAGGACCCTGGGAATGCACTGTGCCTAGGTCCAGTTGCTTGCAGTCCAGGCGAAAAAATATTAAATTGCACTTTCAAGAGCTCCTACCAGAAGTGACAGTCTAGCAGTCACTGGAAACTCTATAGTTTTCTGATGATTCCTAGAGGCACCCTTTCTTTGTTATTTCTAATTTTTAACATGATGTAGTGCCACATGCACCACTGCGGGCCCTACATGGCCTGTCCACAACCTACTTTTGCTGAACCCACTGAGAGAAGTATAGCAGGAAAACGCTGATTATAAATTGTTCTACTTAATTCTTTCCTTATTTCATATACACATTTTTGGAAACTTCACAAAATATGCAGATTGGAAATATAAACAGAAGTGCTATTCTGTAGCACGTATGCCACTCTGAGATCCTTAGAGTAAGGGAGAGGTAAAACTTTAATAAACTAAAATTGTAATAATAATTTTAAAGTTCATAGGATTAATTTGAAGAGGACCAAAAGATAATATATTATTAATTAGTAAAGAAGTAATATGAACTATTAGTAAACTCTTCCTAAAGAGTTCAGGATAGTGATAGGCCCAAACTACACATTATCCACAATTTCATATAATGTTATCTTTCCAGTCCTGTTAAGAAAATCTGCTTCCATTGGGAGACAATTTGGAATAAGATGCATGTGTTTGAAATCATGTGATATTGAAAGCTGCATGGGGAGTAAATTGCAGCAGGGAAACAGTAGCAGAGACCTGGCTAAGAAACAGTCCTTCCCACTACTCCATTCTCAGGAAGCAATCATAAGCAGGTCAACTCAGAAGTACATCCCATGCTATTCAGTGGGTCTTACTTCCAGGAAAATGTCATTAGGATGGTAGTCTCAGGTCCCGTTCACACGAGGCGATTTGGCCCGGGAGCGGGACAGTTTGGGGGCGGTTCAAACCGGCGCGATCACACCGCAACATCTGTAAAGCGCCGTGATTCCGTCCCCGAACTGTCTCTATTCAGGGAAACCGCGCCTCAAACTGAACCACCTATCTCGGTGGTTCAAGTGGATGCGGCGCCTCTTCCCGGCCGTTTGATCGCCGGCGCAAGGACGCGCCGGCACAACCCCGGGCCGGAGACGAACTGCGCATGCTCAGACATGCGCAGTTCAGCCGGCCCCCGGTTAGGGCCGTGTTTTCTCCCCGGCGTTTGATCGCGCCGGGGAGAAACGGCGGCGCGGCCGGGGGATCCGTGAGATCCCGCCGCGCCGTGTCAACGTTGGCGCGGCTTTTAAAAGCCGCGCCTTCAAGCGCCTTTCCCCTGCCGTGTGGCAGGGGCCTCAGTTGTTTTTCTGGCTCTAAAATAGCTAGTACTACATGCAATTGTGTATAATGGATTGCTTGAGTTATAACAAAAACAAAGGTTCTACTCTTCAGGTGGAAATACTCTCACTTTCCTTACAAGCTAGATATGTTAATCATTAAGATGGGTGAGAAGTGGAGCAGAAAACTTCAACAAAACTCTTTAGAACCTTTCCAGGCTAACAGCTCTTGCTCCAGGCAGGTACAGTAGCTCAAGCTGGCCAAAGTTTTCCTTGTGAATGGGTCTGCTTACAAGGAAGGTAGTCAGACTTCTGTGTTAAACATCAGGTGCCTTCCTAGCAAGTGGAGCTGCTAACAAGGAGGGAGGGCATTTGCTTCTCATCATAATTTCTTTTGTCCCTGGCCCTTTTTAGAGTGGTCTATAGCGCATATTGAAGAGAAAGAGGGCCAGATAGTTGTGTTCTTGGTACAGTGAAGTGCATGCTACAAATAAAACAGTGCTTTTCAGTTAAAATGCCCTGTTTAGAAGTTAGAATAAAAGGTAAAGGTTCCCTTGCTCGAAAGCCAGTCGAATCCGACTCTAGGGTTGCGGTGCTCATCTCCGTTTCAAAGCCGAAGAGCCAGCGCTGTCCGAAGACATTTCCGTGGTCATGGGGCCAGCATGACTAAACACCAAGGTGCACGGAACGCTGTTACCTTCCCACTGAAGTGGTACCTATTTATCTACTTGCAATTTCTTGCTTTCGAACTGCTAGGTTGGCAGGAGCTGGAACTAGAGACGGGAGCGCACCCCGTCTTGCGGCACCCGGGTCTTGAACTGCTGAACTACTGACCTTCCACAGCCTGCAGTTCAGCATCTTAACCACTTGAGCCACCGCAGCTCCATCTAGAAGTTAGAATGCTATACTCTAAATCAAATGTTGAAATACTAAACTTCAAGAGTAGATATTAGTTTTTGTTTCATTTTGTGGCAGTGACACTGATATGTTAGCTGTTATCTTGCATTAAATTGCTTTCAGTTTATTCCCTCGTTGTTCAAAGGTAAGCTTTGTTTATTATGGGTAGGGCACTGATAAAAATGGGCTTGGCTGAGCAATGTACAAGGTGTGCCTAACCTTTCTTACAGGATGCAGTTGCTTTGGCCATTTCTGACTTTCATTTTAAGAGGCCAACTTTTGGAAGCTAGCAAAGCAATCAGTTCTGTTTAGTTTGGATGTGTACTTAATTTCATTTGTTTGATTTGTCTGTCACATACCAGGAGCAACTTTGTGTATTCTGTCCATCCATCACTCTCATGGGATTCTCAGTTTTACCTAACAGAGGCGACACCTAGTTCTAGTGTACAGTGTGACTTGTCCAGCTTTGTTGGACCCAAAGTTATGTTCTTGTTACTAATGAGGGATGTCATTGGTTTAAAATGGGCATTATTGGTTGGTCTCTTCCTTTGCATTGAGTTCTACATGGTATGTGATGTATGGGTGACTCCAGGATCAGGAAAGCCGAGGATCAATTCAAGTCAGTACCAACTTAGATGCTTAAAAATAGTCTGAATCAAGGATTTTTGTAATGTGTTAGTCTTGAGTGGATGACCTGGATGGCTCAGGCTAGTTCTGCCTTGTCAGCTGTCAGATGCTAAGTAGGGTTGGCCCTGTCTAGTACCTGAGCGGGAGACCACCAAGGAGGTCCAAGATAACTTCACAAAGGTAGCAATGGCAAACCACTTCTGAATGTCTCTTGCTTTGAAAATCCTATGAGGTCACCATAAGTCAGCCACAACTTGACAACACTTTAGGCATAGAAGTCCTGTGAGTTCCTGTTAATACTACCCAGCTGAACCGAACAATGAAGAGTATCCAACTAAGTGATCTTTTATTTTGTTATTTCTGTCTGGATAATAAATGATGTAATTTTATACAAGTATGTCAGAGACCCCAGCTGGGTCCTCTTGGGTTATTGTTCCTGGCTTCCTGCTTGGAACACCTTGGATACACAGAAGAAAAAACAAACATATTAAAATATAGTCGACAACATATTAAAACAAACCTTGTATAACTATATAAAGGTTTATTAAATTAGTAAAGAATTGGCTATGCAGTTCAGGCTCTGTAGTTCAGCAACAAGAAAACAAAGATGCTAACTTTTCTGTTATATACCATGGTATTAGGCAGCCAATTTCTTTCAGCATAAAATCCAGGCAGTAGCATAAAAGCGTTCTATACATTGCATTCCAGCATGATGAGGCATGACATATCTAAGCATACTAGCATGGCGTTCGCCTGTACCCATAGTATGCCTTTCTACCCTATGGTATGAGATGGTGTCTTGGGTCCGATCAAGGATCTTCTTAGGAACTTTCTGGGAAAGTTGGCGACTGCTTCTAATTCCCCCCTCCCATCTGGTTATACAACTGAGCAAAGGTTCTCATGATTTGCCCAATTACTGCATTCTTGTGTGGGGCCTTGGAAGAGATAAGGATAGTGGTTGTAGGAACACTGAAATCACGAACACCTGTGAGCAGAACTACGCCTTCTAATATTCACATTAATCACTGAGGGGAAATTAGGGTGCTTAGCCTCACAAAGTATTCTTTCTTGAAAAAGGCTTTATGCTCATATTAGGATGGAGAAGAATAGTGGTCACAGGTCTTAAAGTACTTAAACACAGGATTTTGTCTTACACTAAATCAGACTGTTAGTCTGTTAGAGAGCCAGTTTGGTGTAGTGGTTAAGTGTGTGGACTCTAATCTGGGAGAACCGGGGTTTGATTCCCCACTCCTCCACTTGCAGCTGCTAGATGACCTTGGGCAAGCCATAGTTCTGACAAGAGCTGTCTTTGAAAGGGCAGTTCTTGAACGAGCTTTCTCAGCCCAACCTACCTCACAGGGTGTCTGTTGTGGGGAGGGGAAGAGAAAGGAGTTTGTAAGCCACTTTGAGACACTCTGAGTGAAGGGTAGGGTATAAATCCGATCTCTTCTTCTTCCAGTCTGACTAGCTCAGTATTGTCTACTCTGATTGGCAGTGGCTCTTTGAGGTCTCTGTTAGAGAAGTGTCTTTTGCAAAAACTGGAGTTATCTGGGCTTCAACCTGGAATCTATTCCATGCAAAGCATGAGCTTTGCTACTGAGGCTACTGAGGCAAGCTAGCCCTATAGTCTTTGTCTGCTATTTTGTTTTTTAATTTGGGTGTCTGAGTGCTCATATCAATTTGAAAGCATGGGGAAATGGTTCCATGCTAGCTGACTAAGAAGGATTTCAGACAGCCTATCTATTCCGTTCAGAAACTGGTTCCTAATGGGTTTTTAGTAACTGGTTCCTAATGGAATATATTTACATCTTCATACAATGCTGGTTGTCTCCCATTTGGGAAGTGTGTCTGAGGCGTTGTTGACAAAAACTGCTTTCCTGAGGTCTTCAATCCCGTCTTCTGGATCTGAATCGCTACAGTGGGCTGTGTAAAATGCCCTATAGTGCTTTATCCAGTGATGGGGTTTTCGCTCCCTTTTTCCCCCGGCACGCAATCTGTCCTCTTTTTTTAAATGTTCTATTGGGAGCGCTATAACGC